CTCCCCCCTGGCTTCCCCAGGCAGCTGAGGCACAGGCTGTTGCCTGCAGGATCAGATTCATGCCACTTGTTTGGCTTTGCTTGTCCGTCCAGCCTAATCTCTTCTACTCACTTATGTGGAAGTACTTACGGCTCCTGGTATGGTCCATTGTCTTGGGTCCTGGGCTCTTGGAACAATGTGGCCTATTGGGAATACTTTCCCATCTTACATGTTCATCTTGTGCTCCACCCCCCACCCCCCCGAAATGACCCACATACACACACTGAAAGTTGGGTAACCTAGCCATCCTTCAGAGCTCAGGTGTTGACTGTTGTCACATGCAGGAAGCATCATATACACCTGTAGTCCTCTCAGTACACCCCCTCCCCCTTTAGACTGTCACTGCCCATACACTTGCCATTGTGCATTTCCAAATCTGCATTCTGTGGGGGCAGAGAGATCCCTTGTCATCTAGGACTCAGCATGAGGCCTGGCCCAGAGGAGGACAAATCAGGCTGAGGAGGAGCAGCTTGTCTTAGAAAAGGACAAGCTGGTGACAGGATGGAAAGGGGAGCATCCAGGCCCAGACGTTGCCCAGATATCAAGGATACGGCCTTGGTGGGCACCTGGCTGACTCGATGTCGTCTGGTGAAGTCATGTCTAGATGGGCAGAATTTGGATATTGAGCCTGGCCCGCCTCCTCATAGGCAGAGGGGTAGAGGCAGGCTGTCCTCCCTTAAGTTTGGATAAAGATTACATAGGCTACTGAGGGAGGGCCTTGGGGTGCTATCACTGTCGCAGGTCTGTCAGAGCTTGGATGGTCTTTCTCGGCCTCATGGGAAATGGGTGGGCGGTTGCCAAGCGCTGTCAGGTTCAACACAATGCAGCTCCTTTGAATGTGGCTAATGCTGAGTTTTCATGCGTGTGGTGCTATCATTTCTCATAGGGAGGACGGGGAGACTGGAAGGGACCTGAGAGCTTCTGAAGGAGTGGAATCCTTGGGTTGCAGCTGAGTGTTAACAGCCTCTGTGGGGGCACTACCAGTAGATGGCAGAGTGAGGTCTAGAACCTGCGTCTCATGCTGGGTCTTGTGGTCCCTTGGTGGTTGGCACAGTGGCACACTCCAAGCCCTGCTCCTGCCCCAGTGTGTCATTGGTGTGGCTGCTGAGTTTAAGAAACAACCTGACACACAGAAGGGCTTTCTTGCCTCTGCTGTGCAAGTACAGAGCTGATTAGCGCGAGTGTTTTCAATGGCAAGGGGGCTACTCCAGAAAGTGGGGTGAGGCAATAACTGCAGGCTGGTCAGCCCCTCAGCATCCCTCAACTTCCCTGAATGTCACTTTGCCCCAGTGCTTCTAGGGCAAGCTGCCCAATGTGCATCTTGGTCAATTGTTGGTCCTCCTGGCAGGGAAGCTGGACCTAACTTTTTTGAAGGTGTGGTTAAAGTTTTAAATTACTGGTTAGAGAATGCAGGGGCTGACCAACTTGTGGGGTGTAGCAGTTCATCAGGACTGGGGGTGGTGCGTGTTCCATGGTTTCCACAATTCCCTGAGGTGCAGCCTTTCTAAAGGGCCTTATGAGCTGCTCCATGCCAAACACTCAGCTACTAGGTGCTAGGCACTGGGCAGAGTGCTGCCTACACATTAACCTTCAGAGTAGGGGGTGCGTACTCTGGAAAAGGGCTTCATTAGGTAGGAAGTGAGCTGCTTCAGGTGAGCTGCCTCAGGTGACCTGGTTTGGAATGACCTTTGAGCAGTGATTCCTGATTCGGAAACATTAGGCATCTATAGTGCACAGGTCACCTGAGGCAGGCCTTCAGGAACCTCACCTCCCTTTGTACTTGTTATGCAATAGGTGGGCACTTCCCATGCCAGGGCAACACCAGCAGAGTGAGCACTGTCCTAGAAACGGGGGCCCAGCAGGAAAAAAGCAAAACCAAACAATTATATCTAGCTTGGAGTGGGGTCATGTTTTAGATAGGATGGGTAGATTCGGCTCCTGAGCTAGACGTTGCTCGCTAGGCGGGAGTGGTAAGCCCAAAGGCTGGAAGGCAGGAAGTACAGAGGACCTCTGCAGTTGAGGGGTGATGAAGGAATCAGCACCATGGGCCTCGGATCAGCACCTGATCGCTAGGACATGGCGTCTGGGCCCTCGGAGCCTTCCAGTTGGTGGCCAGCGCACCCAGTCCCTTGGTGTTCAGGAGGCCCCCGGGGCTGCACCGGGTCTGTGTATAACACTTGATTCCTGCACACTTCGCCTCTCCAGTTAACTAGATCAGGTGGCCCAAGGCAGTGTAAATACACTTCTTGGTCAAGTGACACTCAACTCAGAGTAGGCTGAAGCTGGGGAAAGCAGCTGGACGTTCATTTGCCAAGTGTTAACCAAGGCTGGTTGAGCTAGACTCTGTTAGTGCCAGGAATGTGTTCAATATGGTCTCTTCTCATTCCTGTTGTCCTTTCGGGAAAGGCAGACAGCACCTCACCAGGGACTGGCCAAGGAAGGCTTTCCAGAGAAGTACCACCTGAAGGGAGTCAACATGTGGGCTTCAGGCAGGCACAGAAGAGAGGCTCTTTATAGTGACTTGGAGTCCGGGACTCTTAGGTAGTCCTTTCTGGAACACAGTAGAGATGGGGTGGAGTAATGGATACAGCCTGAGTTAGTCAGAATAGACTGTGCTGTGCCAAAGAAACCTGGACAGCGCTGGGGAGACATTGAGGTGTGTGAGCCAATGGGGTGGGAGATGTGCATGGAGAGATTGCTCATAAGAAGCTAGCTAAATGGCTGATTTGCTCATTTGGACCAAGGGGTCCCAGGGGTCGGGGAGACCCTTCCTGAAAGCAGAGCACCTCAGATGTGCGGCTGTGTGTGTGGAGGAGCTGAGGGTGAGAGAGAAATGGAGGGTGTGCTCTGGCCTTCGTCCCTCAGGGCTGGCCGGCTCTTGGCTTCCCTGACCCTGGGCAGGCCTAAGACATCATCCTCACTGATACCCCAGCCGTTGCTCCTGTTTTCATGATTCTTGTCCCCTGTGCCAAGGGTTAGCCCACTTTTGTTCACTGGTCCAGAGAGTGTATGTCCATATGCACACACAGTACCCATTTCGCAGCCTGACCAGCCTGTTGTGTCCACAACCTGTACAAGGAATAAGGGAGCATTGAAACGATCGGGATGTGACTGGCTTGGGTTCCTGACCTGGCTCTGCCCCTTTCTTGTGGAATACAAGTCAGCTACTTGAGCCCTGTGTTCTCACCTGTGAGTGGGGGAAATTGTGCTGGGGATGATTAAACTCGAGAATGCTGAGAGTGCTTCTCCTAGCCCCTTCCTCACCATAGCTCCCCTCTGATCTTGCTAGCTCAGGGTAGGGGAAGGTGGTGTCACATGGGGCCGGAAGAAAGGGACTCTGGGAGATGTGTTAATCCATGGCCCAGATAGGGAAAGCAAGCTTGGCGTCTGGCCTCCTAGTTCTCAGAGGATGAAAAGCTAGACCTTACCAGGCCTGAGCTAGGGGATCCCTGGGCACTCACGATGCGGGCCCTGTTATCTGGCTGGCATCTGTGGAACCCTGGCTCTTGGAGCTCTGGGTTATGCACGTGTGTATGACATGGTGGTAACCAGGCTGAATGATTTGCACCGGCTGTCCTTGGGGCCTGGGTATCTTTCAGGCTGTGTAGGAAGAGGTCTGCTGGAAGCCCAGGACTGTGCTTGGGGCGCCCTCTCTGGGTAATGCCCTCCTGTGCCTTTTAGGCTCTTCTGACAATAGCAGGCTTTTACACCTGTCTCAGAACTGCCTTGTGGGGAGCAGAGCGGGTGTTGGAAAGGAGGGAGGTTGGTGAAAGATGGGGGGCAGGGCCACGCAGGGGTGGATACTATTGTAGGCAAGAGTGGCGCTGGTCTGGGCTTTGTGGAGTCTGATACTCGGGGGTGCTGGAGGTTAGACCTAGGGTCCCAGGTCAATCAGTAGACAAGGGGGTGCTCAGATATGCCTGCTGCACCACCTCCTGCCTCCTCAGTCCCTTGGGAAAGCCAGGCTTTGTAGCACAAGGGTGCTTAGTGAGGTTGGAGCCAGAAGTTGGGAGAGTGGTTGTCAGCAGGGCCTGAAGTGCAGAGTGGTTCACCATCTCCCAGAAATGGTAGTCGGCCTGGACAGCTGTCTGCTGCAGTGAAACGAGCCCACCTGGGCTTTAGAGACCATCGTCAGATCATAGCTACGTGACTTAGGCTGGTGATTTGGTCTCTGATTTAGCATTGCTTCCTACCCCCACAGTGGGTATAATCCTTCCCAGCAGCGTCTCTGGATTCCGTGAGTGATAAAGGAACATGGGGGGGGGGGCACTTGGGACAGAGTCAACTCCCTCCCTTCCCCTCAGGTCACATGATGTGTTACATTAATGCTGGCTTATCCTCCCTTTGGTGTGGCGTCCCCCATGCCTTGGCCCAATCCCTGCTTTGTCCTGGGGGCTGTCCTGACACCCTGGGTGACCTTCCTGGGTATGGCAGTCTGCCTGGGTAACCCTCACCTCATGTGTCTGGGTGCCTTGCTGTGACCCCTGGACTCTGACTCAGACCTGGAACGCAGGTCTTCGTTCCTCTTGTCATTCGAGGAGGCCCAGGCCCAGACCCAGACCTTACTGCTAGAACTGGGCTTCCTTACTCCAAACTTGTGGCTGTGTACACTGAACCCCAAGGGGTCAGACCTGCTCCCGGGCAAGAGCAGCTCTGAAGTTAAGCTACTGGTAGACTCTGGGCTTGGGATCTGGCTCTAGCCTGACTTCCTGCAGCTTGGTGGCTCTTTAAGTGGAGGGAGGGCAGGAACTTCTGCTTTCTGAGATGTGCTTCTAACAGCCCTAGGGGATGTGTCAGGAGCCCTTTGGAACCCCAGAGCTTATACTGTCTCCAAAGCGGGTACAGGAGACTGGTAGGGCCATTTGTGGTAATTCCTCCTCTGGGAGCTGCCCCTTGATGGCCACAGAGCTGTCATGGGGGGCGGGGACCCAACACCCTTCCCTCATTTAGGCAGGTAGAGAGCAGCAGAGCCAGTCCATGTCCCTGGCCTGTCTGTCCAATCTCAGCTGGTCCTGCCTTTCTCCCCAGCCTCTCCAGCAGTCCTAGACTCATAGTGAGGGGCTACCACCACTGTCCCCTGGTTACCCAGACAGGCCACCGAGTAGTAAGTAGCCCAGGAAGGGCTGGACTACACCAGGGCTTGGCCCATGTCAGCTGTGCCTGTGTGGCAGGATTTGCTTGTGTTTTCCAGCCCCACAGGTGTGTAGGTCTGGCTGAGAGTCTCACCTAGGTTTAAACCTTTCTCCCGTGACTTCCAGGACATGTGACTCACTGTCTTTCTGACCCAGTTTCCCCATCTATTTATTTATTTATGTATGTATGTATGTATATATTTATTTATTTATTTTTATTGGGGAATTGGGGGGTTGGGAACAGTGCTGGGGAACCGGGGAAGGGGAACAGACAAGTTGCTGTCGTCCCGTTCTTCAGTCCAGTTGTGGAGGACGCCGCCCCACCGGCCCAAGTTGGCATCATCACTGCGCTCCTCCCGGGTGAGGCAGATCAGTCGCCGGTCTCTGGACGGCCGCTCACCGCGGCTGCTGGCCACACACGGTAGCCCATGGCAACCCACCACCACAGAGGCCGCAGCCTACGCTGTCGCCGGCGACCCACAGCAGCCCAGCTCCAGATTGAGCTGTTGTTCAGCATCTTAGCTGTGGAGGGCAGTGTCACTGGCCCTCACATGTGGGATCCGAACCGGGGCCCTCCAGCGCCCCAAGCCAGCTCCCAACCATCGTGCCACTCGGCCGGCCCCTCCCCATCTATTTATAGCAAACCAGCCAGTAGGGGTAGGGGGAGCTGTGAGGACTGGTTGTAGTTGTTACCAAGAGCGCCAGGCAAAGCATCTCTCGGATTTCATTCTCTTTCTCTCAGTGTTTTTCTGAGGATGTCCTTTGAATCCTGCCCTGACCCCCAGCATCTTCTTCTCAAAACCAAATGACTACTTTGTGCTCAGCAGCCAATGGGCAAGGTGCCTTCAGGCCTTCTGCCAGCTGTGCCCCCGGCACTCCTCCTCCGAGGCCTCTTTCCTGTGCCTTGCTGTACTGGCCTGGCTTCGTAAAGGGCTTGGATCACGCCCACAACCACCTTCCTGCCCAACTTCTCCAGCCCCTCTTCCCTGTCCATACTTGCATGTTCTCCATTTACTAGGCAGTGTGTTCCTTAAAACTCACACCCAGTGGTCGGTGGAGACTTTGCCTTCAAAAACCCTTGGCTGTGTCAGTATCCTGGAACGAGGAGAAGCTGCCAGGTGGCTGTGGTGGGACCAGAGCCAAGGTTGTAAATGTGGAGCTGGGTATGGGCTCTTCTGTTAGCTGCAGCCTCAGTGTTGCTGTGTGAGAGAAGAGGGAAGCTTACTCTGTTCCTCTCCAGCTCTTCCACAGGCCTGGACCGGGCAGCCTTCCTATCCTGGTATTTCAGGTGGCCATGCAGCCTGATGGAGTATGTTGGTGCCCACCGGTGGGCCTTCGGTCCCCTGGCAGGTGGAGTGCATGCCCCTGGACCACCGCTGGGCCTGAGTGGGGTGAGGTGGGGCTGCCTCATCCAGCTGAAAGAGCGCCCTGGGATCTTGCCCCTGGGCAGCAGATCCTAATCATGGGAGTCTCCAAACAGAAGTATCCTAGATCCCTTCCCTTGAGCCTGTATTTAAGAAGGAGCATCTTTGGAAGTCAGCCAGACCAATCGCTAGTTGAACCACAAGGAGATTGAGGCACAGAACAGAGCTGCCAGCCTCCCCATTTAGCCTGGCTGGAGAGAGAACTGGTCTGATAGGGCCCACACCCCACCAGAGCCCCCCTTGTGATCTCTTGCCTGTTTCCTTTGCAGGACGAGGTTAGATGCACCCCGGTTGGAAACCAAGTCACTGAGCAGCTCTGTGCTGCCCCCCAGCTATGCTTCAGATCGCCTATCGGGAAACAACAGGGACCCCGCTCTGAAACCCAAGCGGTCCCACCGCAAAGCAGACCCTGATGCTGCTCACAGGTACAGCTTAGGACCTTCAGCAAAGGCCAGCAAAGCCTCCTGCGGCCTGGCTGCAGGGTGAGATGGGAGGTGATTAGGAGCCTGGTGTTGCCCACCTCTCTAAAGCCTTGTGTCTGCTTCCCCTGGGCTGGTGGCATGCACCCTTAACCCCTGACTGATTGCCTCTATCCAGAGAGAAGGGGTTGGGCGAGACTGGTAAGTGGCCTGCCCACAATTTCCCTTTTTCAGTCCACCCAGACAAATGCTCTTGTGGGTTATACTTAAATGTTAGGAGGGAAGCGCAGAACTTGGAAGGTGGCGGACTGGGGACCCATTTCAGAAGGGTTGGCAAAGACTGCTGAGGAAGCACTGTTTAAGTTGAGACCAGAAGGCTGAGGAAGACCTGTGGCAAGGGCAGTCAAGGCAGGAGGTTCTGTATGGGCTGAAACACTGAGGCAGGAAGAGCATGGTGGTTTCAGGGGCTGGTGGGGTTAGTGAGCAGAGAGAGAAAGCGGAAGTAGAGGGGAGGCCTGAGAAGTAGAGGGAGGCAGCGGGGCTGTGCAGGGGATTGAGGCTGGAATAGGGAAGGTCTCTCTGTCCGGCAGCCTTGGCAGTGTCCTGGGGCACTGGACTTGGAGCCAAGCAGACCCCACAGGGTACTTGGGTAATGTCTCAAAGATGAGGAGTGGCCACCAGCCCCAGTAAGTGGGCAGGGACTACACTGCCAGTCCCACCCCTCGTGAGCTGGAGTGAGCCATCTCAGAGGCAGAGGTGGGAGGCCCTCAGCCTCTTGGTTAACCCCTTTCCCCCCACAGGCCTCGCATCCTGGAGATGGACAAGGAAGAGAACCGGCGCTCGGTGTTGCTGCCCACACACCGGAGGAGGGGGAGCTTCAGCTCCGAGAACTACTGGCGCAAGTCCTACGAGTCTGGGGAGGACTGCTCAGAGGCGGCAGGCAGCCCTGCCCGAAAGGTGAAGATGCGGAGGCACTGAGGCCCCATCCTCTCTGGAACCTTGGTACTCCTCACGGAGCTGCCCCTTCTTTTGTTTCGTTTTTGAGGGGATTTTTTTGTTTATTTGTTTTGATCCTTACATTTTTTCCCTCAATTTTGTTGCCTGGTAAGGCTGAAGAACAGAATTGGCTGGGACCTGGTTCTCACGTTCTTGGTTTTCTTCCTGGATGGAAAGGCTGACGGAAGCTTATGCTGGAGTGGCTAGAAGAGGCATGGGGGGCAGCCTTCCTCAGGTGGGGCTGTGTCAGGCTGGTTTTATTTAAAAGCAACAAAATGTTTTGGTTAAGAAAATTCTTGTTTTGCTTTCAATGTAAATCTCAGTGTTGTAAATGAAATTCAGTCTTCTGCCCACCCCTCCCCTATGTCTCTGCTGGGTTGAGGTCTCCTGGGCCTTGCTGGCTCCACAGGGGTCCTACTGTCCTCCCACCTCTCACCTGCTCTCCAGGCCCCAGAAACTCACGCAAACATCCTCTTCCTGTTTGCAGAGTCATTCAGGATGACTGGACAGGGGCTTCAACAGTGCAAGCCCCTGCACCCCACCCCGGAGTGCTTCCATGCCCCCTGGCCTCCTCTGCTCATGGGTCCCTGGCTGCAGTGGTCCTGACCTCTGTTGCTGAGAGCATGCCTCTTGCTGGGTTGCTCCTTTCAGGCATCTGCGTGTGATTGTATGGAACAGTTAGACTTGCCATGTTGGGGCAGCTTTAGCAATTGTTTCTAGCTAGAGGGACTGGTGTCCTTCCAAGTCTAGCATTTGGGGTATGGAAAATTGTGGTGTGTGGTAGGGGTTTTGTTTTGTTTTGAGTTTTTATTTTTTCCTTTAGTCTTGGCTTTTTCCTTTCCCTTTCCTTTCTCCTACATGGGCCTTCTCCCCATGTCATCCCTATAGGAAGGGGCCTGCCCCTTCTGTCTGCCTGCAGCGCACACCCAAGGCCAGAACTCAGGCCTGCGGGCTGTGTGTCTCTTCTGCCTCAGGGGTGTGGGAACCAGGGAAGGGGCTTTTAAAAAATAGTAATGAAGGGGGGGGGAATAAATGAAGTCGTAGGCAGTTTCCACCTACTCAGACCCTCTAAGGCTGCAAGGTTTTGCTGATCTAGGTTCATTAGAAATGTCTCCTTGCCAGCCAGGGCCAAGACCCAGGCCTGCTGAGTGGAGAGGCCTTCCCAAGTCCCCAGGCTGCCACCACCCCAGGGGGGCCTAGGCCCAAGACTGCAGAAATCTGGGGCAGCCACCACCAAGAAGCCCCTCTCAGGGGCCAGAACTCCTTTGACAGTGTGGATTCCTCAAGTTGGAACTGCATAACTAAAGCAGTTGCAGTTTTATTTTTTTTACAGCTTTTTTCCCCAAAATGATTTGTAGTTGTGTGTGTGCAGCACTTTGCCCTGATATGTGTGCTCTACAATAAAAACCAAATCTAATATATTTTGAAACAGTTGTCTGATGTTATCGTAAGAGAGGGCTTGCCTTTGGTGCTTCCTTAATCCCTTTATTTACTCCTTAAACTAAGAATGGGTTGGGAATGGGCAGAGCTCATTGCCCACGAGGGCTCCAGAGGAGACAACCTGTTGCTGACACGGCTCAGGGCTGAAGGTGGACTTGCCTCCTGCCTTCTCTCCCCCTCCCAGGAGGATGGACTTCACAAACCGTGTGTCCATGTGCTGGGGCACTGTGGGCCCACAGGAGCCAGGACCATCCCCTGCTGAGTTCTGGAAAGGTGTTCGGAGAGGCCTGTGCCAGTGAAGGAGGGACAGCATGAGCAGAGGCAGGGGAGAGCCTGGCCTTTGTAGAAGATCTGCAAGTGGTTTTGCACATGAAACGAATTCTCGAGTTCTTAGTATATGCCAGCCAAGCCCACACTGTGGCACCAGTAGTGAGCAGAACACTTCTGGTCCCTGGTACAGATGCAGGCATGAGGCAGGCATGCTGGGATGGACTGGAATTGAGGCCCAAGGGCTTTCAGTCCCTCCAGATTCCGGACCTGGCTCTCAGGTTCTGGTCAAGGGCTTTGGTCTAGAGTCTCCCTCGTTCGCTTGCCCAGAGCCAGTCTGCTTGGCCACATTCTTGCTGTGGAAACCTGGCAAGCCACTTAACTCCCCACTTAACAGAAGAGAAGAGAGCCTAGAGAAAGCAAGTGACTGGCCAGGGCTCAGTCCTGCAAATTGGTGACAGGACATAAAGAGGGGATCAGAGCCTCTGTCTGGCCAGACTGGGCCCTGGATGCCCCAGAGAGAAGACACGAGCTGAGAGGGAAAGTGACTTGCAAAACATCATCCAGACTACATGGTAGAGGTGGACACCCCCCCACTCTGTGCCTGGTCTCCTGCCTTGGAGCATGGGATGGAGGCGCACATGGACAGCTGGGGAGCTGGGAGGGACTCTTCTGTAGCTGTGATAAAGCCAGACCTGACCTCTTCCTAGTCGCTGGGTGAAAAGACGCCCTTTGCCCTGCAGGATTGAGGGATGGGAGGGGCTCCAGCCCTAGCAGGTCCTGCTGTGTCATTGGCTTTAGTCACTGCACCTGTACAGTGGCTCCATGGCACCCCATCTCTGGGACTGATAATCCTCTGAGCAGTCCTCAAGCCTGTGGAGGCCTTAAGGAAGTGGGTCCCATAACTGATGCCTGGAATCTGACTTCCCAGCTATTTCCTGGGGCACCAGCTGTTTGGGCCAGGTGCTGAGTCTCGTCAGTCTGCCCCCGGTCCAGTCTTGCACATAGTAGGTGCTATATAACAACATCTGGCGCCAGTATGCCCACCTGGGAGCCCATTCCATTCCTCCAACCCTGTTGTGTGGTGGGGGAAACAGGTCCAAAGTCATGTTCATTCATTCAAAAAATATTTGTCCTACTGTGTGCCAAGCTCTGAGCTGGGTGCTGAGGATACAAGACCTGGTATATATCAAATACACACATACATATAATGTTATAAATTGTACAGATATAAAAGATGCATAGCACATAAATTGCAAATAACAAAATATACATTATAAATTTTGTATAGCCAGTTTCTCACAGGATGCTTTTGTTGATTTTTTTGCTCAGTTCTTGTATTTGTAGCTTAACCTGTGGTGGTAAGTCAACCACGACATGGCAAATGGAGTTGCATCCCATCAACTTGTATTAGTTTTCCTGTGGCTGCTGTAACAAATTACCACAAGCTTGGCTTAAAACAACAGAAATTTGTTTTCTCACAGTTATAGAGGTCAGAAATCCACAATCGCTATCACTGGGCTGAAATCATGGTGTAGGCAGGGCCATGCTCCTTCCGGAGGCTCTATCTAGTCCTTGCCCCTGGTGGCTGTTGACATTCTTGGACCTGTGGCCACATGGCCTTCTATGTGTGTCAAATCTCCCTCTGCCTCGCTCTCAGGACACCTGTGATTGGATTTAGGGCCCAGCTGGATAACCAAACATAATCTTCCCATGTAAAGACCTTTAATCACATCTACAAGGTAAAAAAAAAATGTAAAAAAATTTACAAGTTCCAGGGATTAGGACCTGATATCTTTGAGGACCACTGTTCAGCCTACCAACTGCTCTTTTACCAGTAAATTTATTGTCATTAACTCTTGTTACACGACATTGATTTCTCATCGTTGAACAAACTACGTATGTTTATTGCATTGGAATTTCTCAGCCGCAGCACTACTTTTAAATTTAATCGGCATCGTTAATATTTTCTCCATCTGTTTTTTTTGTTTTTTGTTTTTTAAGATTTTATTGGGGAATTGGGAAGGGGAACAGACAAGTTGCTGTCCTTTTGTTCTTCAGTCTAGTTGTGGAGGACGTCGCTTCACTGGCCCATGTTGGCACCATCACTACACTGTTCCCGGGTGAGGCAGTCGCTCTCCAGCCATTGGAGAGCCGCTCACGTAGCAGGCTGCTCACAGTAGCTCACGGCAGCCCACTGCAGCAAGGGCTGCAGCCTACGCCGTCACCGGCGACTCACAGCAGCCCAGCTCTAGGTCGAGCTGTTGTTCAGCATCTTAGCTGTAGAGGGCGCAGCATCACTGGCCCTCATGTGGGATCCGAACCGGGGCCCCGCTGCTCTGAGCTGGCGTCCCAAGCCAACTCTTAACCATGTGCCACTCGGCCAGCTCTCTCCATCTGTTTCTTAAATCTAGACCTGTGCTGTCCAATACAGCAGCCACTGGACAATTTGGCTGCTGAGCACTTGAAATGTGGCTATTTTGCATTGAGGTGTGCTTTATGTTTAAAATATACACCAGAATTTGAAGAGTTAGTATGAAAAAAGAATGTAAACTGTATCACTAGTTACTTTATATTGATTACATGTTGAAATAATATTTTGGACATACTGAGTTAAATAAAATATGCTACTTAAATTAATTTCACCTGTTACTGTTTTTAATCTGGCTACTCAAGAATTAAAATCACATGTGTGGCTTGCATTATATTTCTATTGGATGGCACTGGTCTAGAAAACCAACAGTAAATCAAACCTGATTTGTAGTGTCTGCCAATTTCCATGGTGTAAATACTGCCATCATGGCTGATTTCAAGCTATTAATGCAATATAGCTGGAGTGGTGAAGAGATACGCAGAAGCATACCATTATACAGTGTTTGCACCGTACAGATACAACAGATAAAATTAAAGCACAGACAATAGTAAAATATGGTAAAGTAGGAAGTGCTTAGTTTTGAATATTACCTTTGTTTTTAATATTAAATTTCATATAATTTAATTTTTAATAATGGCTGTGTTTTAACAATTGACTCAAAATTCTTAAAATTTGACAGTTCATTCTTGCATGTGGCTTCTCGTGAAGAGCAGAGGAGATCATGGTCAGACCTAGAATCCCTCGTGCTGCTGTGTCAAGGACAGCCAATCATCAATAAGGAAGCCACAGCATTGGCTAGAAATTAAGGGGCTCCAAATGGAGGGGCTGGAGCCATTATTGGGCATTGTGGGGCTGGTGTCCTCGTTAGGTTTCAGGGTGTTCATTGGTGCAGTTCTCCCCTGTGCCCACAGGGAGGCAGCAGAATCTGAGGGATGGTGCTTACGAGTGGTGCAGGGGACAGCTGTCCTTTGGTTTGGATGGGGAGCTGAGGCCCCAGAGGCAAGAATTTAGGTTCCCCACTGCCTCTGCCCTGCTCATCCAGGAGCCCCAGGATCAGTGGGTAGGCAGAGGGGCCACAACTCACCGGGACCTTCTCGCCTATGAGCCTTTGCACATGCCAGTGCCCTCTGCCTTAGGAGGCTTCTGCTGGAAGCCACCTTCTCTGTTCTCCACCCAGTCTCCTCAGGGCTGCCTTGGTGCTTCCCAGACCCCAGCTTCCCTCAGCACAGAGTGTACTGTGTGGTCCCAGTGCTTCCACTCCAGGCTGGGCAACTAGGACCTAAGTTCCACCCTCTCCTGGACTCATTTACAAATTGTCAGGCCCTTTACAAATTGTCTCGTTTAATTTTCACCGCACCCTCTAATACCTCACTTTGGGCCTGGGTTCAAATCCTGACTCTGCCATACTAGATGTGTGACTTTGGGCAAATTACTTAACCTCTCTGATCTTGTTCTCTTCCTTTGTAAAATGGGCATAGGATTAAAGGAATGACTATGGTGCCTGGCACAGACTAACTGTTCAGTGTTGTTAAATGGAAGCAATTAATATTCACCTCCATTTTGCATACAAGTAAACTGAGGCCCAGAAAGGTGAAGTGGCAAAGGCAGGATTAGAACTTCAAGCCACAGAGAGAATGAAGCACAGAACCCCACCTTCCAATAGGCCTGTGACAATGCCCACCTGCTCAGCCCCTGGAGCCTCAAACCTGACACTCCCTGCTGGGGGCAGGTGCATCTGAATCCCCAGGTCCTTGTCCCAGCACGAGCTGAGGAAAGCACAGCACAGGATCCCAGCTCAGGGTGAGTGTCGGGTGAGACATCTGCACCCAGAGAAGGAGCACTGGGCTGGAGGTCCAGAGATACTCCATGTGACCTTGGGCAGGTCACTTCTCTCTCAGCCTGTTTCCTCCCTTATAAAATGAGAACAGGCTGGGTCTGCCAAACACTCCCAATACATGTTTGTTTGGCTTTTCTTTCACTGAGGCCCATTGCACTGTTTACCCTCTGTCCACTGAGGGCCCCAGCTCCACTGCCAACCTCCCCTATCTGGGCCTTAAAGAGCACCCTTAAACCCAGCTTCATTTAGCACACCACACAGGATGAGGGGCTCACCCCTTCCCCCTGGCTTGGGCTCCCTAGTGGTCTTCCATTCAGTCCTCACACCCCAGTTGCTTTCTCCCTCATTTCCTTCTATCCCGGGCCCTGCCTGCCTCCAGCCTAGACTCCACTCCAGGAATCCTCTGGCCTGCCAGGCCCCTGGGGAGGCACCAGGAAGAAGCTGTTCGTGCTGCTTGGGCATCAGAGGAGGGTTGTGGCCTCAGCGGGGATCTGGGCCAGCTCCTGGGAGCCAGGGCCCAGCTGCCTCAGCCACTCTCCTGGCTCTCCTTCTACTCCCTTGCTGCCCCTACTCTGCCTCCATTGGAGGCTTTCCCCCTTGTCTCAACTTCTCCCCTCCTTCCCTCCACAGGTGACCTTGGGCAAGTCACTTCTCTACCCCTAGCTTCCATTTACTGGCTATAAAGTGGGATCGTCCATGTATCTACTTTCAGTGTCGTTGCAAGGATTCAGAGAGAAAGCACAGATACCGCATTTACTGGAGTGCCTGCCTCTGAGAACACCCTCGATGCATGCCAGCCTGGCTCAGGGACACCCCTACTCACCCACCTGATCCCCCCGCCACATCCTATCAACCAGCACTTCCTGTGGTCTTCTAAACAGTATGGATTATTTGTGGGATTTTCTTTGTATTAATAAAATATTTCAAACACACTGAAAAATACTTAAAATAACAGAGAAGCCACACAAGCACTCACCACCGGCACACATTAACATTTTGTCATATTTGCTTCAGATATTTTTTTTTTTTTTTTAGCTGGCCATTCCGCCTACTGTTGGCCTGCTCAGCTCAGGCTGGACTCGAACCGCTGTTGCTCAGAGCTCAAACTCTTGAGTGAGCTCTTAACCAACTGAGCCACTCGGCCGGCCCCAGATATTTTTTAAAAATTAATTTACGTATAGTTTTTCAAACTGTGTTGAGTACCTACTATGTGCCAGGCACTGTTTTAGGCACCGGGACACAGCAATGAACAGCTCATTCTCAGCTCATTCTCAGGCCGGGGAGACAAGCAATATACATAAAGAAGTCAAACAGGTGGTAGATGAGAAGAGGGAGTCAGAGAGAACCAGGCAGGGGAGGGCATCCAGGATGGGGGAAATAGGTCAGGGAGGCTTCTGGGAGCAAGTGTCATTTAAGTCAGGAACAAAAGGAGGGGAGGGATTTGGCTAAGTGAAAACCTGGGGGCAAAGCGTTTCAGGCAAGGGAACAGCAAGTACAAAGGTCCTGAGGCAGAAGCTTATCTGGTACATTTGAAGAATGATGAGGCTGCCTGCATGTCCTACAGCAAGAGTCCTAGAAGCTGGCTTACTAGGTACAGACCCTGAAGGGCCCTGTGCTCAACCCCTGTTTTGAATCATCTCATTTAATCCTCACTACATTTTACAGATGAGGAAACAAGCCCACGGTGGACAACTGGCTTAACTGAAGTCACCCAGCTAGCAAGGGGATGTCTTGGGATTTGAAGCCAGACCTGGGTCCCACCTCAGAGCTATGTTAGGGCAGTGGGGTGGCCTAGGAGGATGGGAGAAGGAGAGGCCATCCTACCCAGGAAATGCTGAGAAGGCAGCAGTTCCTCCCTGGCCCAAGGTTGACCTGAGTCTAAAGGAGGGACCAGCTTTCCTTCCAGTGCTGCTGACTCAGGCGCCCTCCTGTCTGACTCCATCTCCCAGGATAGGTGTGGGAGCTCCTGGGAACACTGAAGACCCTGTGTGTACACCCTTGCTTGGGCTCCCCTGAGCCTTAGTG